TAGATATAGATATAGATATAGATATAGATATAGATATAGATATAGATGCAGAACAACGATTAAAGAGCTATACAGTAATCATGAAAACAATCTGATACTGGCTAAGAAATAAAATGGTGGATCAGTGAAATAGATCAGGTGCACAATATACAGTAGTAAATGACCATAGTAACATGGTGTTTGATAAACCCAAAGATTCTGTCTTCTGGGTCAGGAATTCACCATTTGACAAAAGTTGCTGGAAAGCAGTTTGGCATAAACAATTGTGTAAACCAACATCTCACACTGTATACTAAAATAAGGTCAAAATGGATAAATGATATCATGAGTAAATTAGAGGAGCATGGAAAAATTTACCTGTCACCTGTGGATAAGGGAAGAGTTTATGACCAAAAAAAAGAGTTAGAGAGGATCACTACTCACTTGTAAAATGGTTTGACCTAGTTGATCTTGAAAGCTGTTTCTGCATATAAAATTCTATTTTTCAAAAAGAATAGAAGAACCAAACTTCTCTCCTCCTTTGTTACCTTTTATTACTAGTGGTTATGATTTTTTCCCCCTCAAAACATTCTTGGATCTTGTACAACTATCAGTTCATGGACATAATTTTGAAAATCTTCCTTACTTCCCCTTATATACCTCTAGCATGTTCTCTTACAAGACTGTGTCTCCACTTCTGTTTAAAAAGAAATCAGCTTTACTTTTCTATTTTGCTATAGTTTATATTGAATTTTCCTGGCTGACAAAGGACCCCTTTAGAAAACATTCTGATGCTTTCCCCAAGGGTCAGATTAATCAAAGTTGAAATTACTCTAGGATAGTGTTTTTTTCATTTGTCCTGAGTTGAAGGAGGTTATAGCAGCCTGGCTTCTGCTTTATTTATAACTATTCAAAATACTTCCTTGACTACAGGGAAATCTGACATGGTAACCAAAGTTGTTAAGTTTTGTTCAGCGTTGAAGTGACATTAATTGTCATGACATTTTGCTTTGGAGTTTTATTGAAATGCCCCCAGAAGCGTGGGTGTCATTGTTTCATGTTTGTGCTTGGCTTGAGACTGAGTTTCTTCACACTTTCTCATATATTCGAGTACAGGTAATGTCATTCATGGCACTTTCCTAAAAAAAAAAAGATATTTTAAAAATACATACATGTATATATAAATAAATATTCATACTTGAAAAAAAAACTAGACCATAATTCAGGAAAGGCAACTCCTTCTCTGTAATTTATAGTCTTTGCCTGGGGTCACTGAGCCAGTGTGGCAGAGACAGGACTTGAACCCATTAAGTGGGATCATAGACATACACGCACACATATACGCTACGTTGTTATGTAGAACAGACATATATACATACATATATGTGTGTATGTGTATGTATTTTATATTTATGCATAATATACAACACATTACCATGTATACCAGACACACATATGCATACATATATGTGTACATATACATCATGTATGTGTATATATTTCATATAGATATATATATATACCACATTGGCATATATGTACACATATAGGCGGGTTGGTGGCACAGTGAACATAATGTTGGACCTGGAGTCAGGAAAATGTGAGTCTGAATTGGGTCTCAGACACTAGCTGTGTGACCCTGGACAAATTACTTAACTTCTGTCTGCCTCAGTTCTTTCATCTATAAAATGGAAATAATAATAGTACCTGCTTCATGGGTTCGTCGTGATGATAAAATGAGATAATATTTATAAAGCATTTTACAAACCTTAAAGCCCTGCACAAACACTAGCTTTTATTATTATATGTTTGCATATATATGTGTGTATGTATATATATATGTGTGTGTGTGTGTGTGTATATATATATAGAGAGAGAGAGAGAGAGAGAGAGAGAGAGAGAGAGAGAGGGAGAGAGAAAGAGAGAGAGAACTATAGTATCTATTTGTTAACTGATTGTGCCTTGTGGTTCTTCCTTGTAATTACATTATTTTGAAAGTATACATTTATCTAGATAATCAAAATGCATATTATCATTTTTCAAAATCCATTACAGTGAAGCACATAGTACTTTTTACTATTTCATCCATATATACTCACACACATACATATCATTTATCAATAAATGATGAAGCTATTTTGTTTATTAACTAATGTTATATGAAAAAAAATAAATTCAGGCCAGATGATTCTCCCAATTTGGATCCATAAGAAATAAAAACATCCCCCAAAGAAACACACAAGGAAAAACTATCTTCCTACTACATTTTCTAGGGGGAAGTGCAAAAGATTGTCACAGGAAATTTATATAGGGCTTTCCTCCTTAGATTCATAACTGAGAATCAAGTTATAATGTTTTTGCAGTTCATCACACAAAGGAAAACAACATTTTTCTTTGTTATTTTAGAAAGATTTGTTCCATAGAGACTTAATTCATATTTTCACCATACTTGGCACAGAAAAGAACTTACCACCACCATTTTCCCATCCACCAGCTTTCTCTTTATGGTAGTCTCTTTGCCATCCCAATTCTGCACATGAGTCAAAGAGCCGCTGTCCAAGATTACAATGCTCTGAAGAAGACAATACAAAGATACCAGTCACCCAGTCCAGAGTGTCCCACAGACCTCAAATCCTAGTCACCTGCTATAAATCCTCTAACATTTTACATAGGTTACAATCAAGACGTGATAAACTTATTAGGTAATTATTTTGAATAAATAAAGGGAATTCTCAAAATTCTTCTATTCCTTTGAGGACATTTGGGGGAGGTGAATTAGGGCAGAGTAAATCCTTGATAACTAAGGTAAAGTATAGTTCAATATTTTAAGGCATAAGTAGCTTTAAATTTATAACTCCCATCCCCAGAGCTAACATAATGGGTAGAAAATAAGATCTTAGATCCAAAAGGGATATTGGAGACAACCTAGTTCAACTTCATCATTTTACAGATGAAGAGACTGAGGTCCAGACATTCAGTGAATTACATAGCATTATACAGACAGTAAGTGGCAGAGGCTAGATTTGCATCTAGTTCCTTTAACTCCAATGCCAGTATAATTTCCATTGCACCATTCTGCCTCTCATAGTCACATGTCCCACTTTTCCCCATCACAAAATCATTAAAGTTAAAGTCTTTAGCCTCTTTTGCTCTCCAAATTATGCAATTACATCAGGCTTGAGCACTCCCACATTTAAATTCTATTCTTATTGAGATGTTATAATTTCATATTAATTACATATTAAATAATATTATAGCATATTATATGATGTACATATATCTCAGAGCATACTGTTCCACAGTCTTGTGCCTTCAACCAAGGTTATTTATCAACTCATTCTATTCTGTACAACTCTGGGAATAGACAGCTGCTGCAAAATAGCAGATAAAAGAATATGAATACAATTATCTTAGAATTAAAATCTGGACCATTTTTAGAACAGTAGTTAGTATGAATAGTTTGTCTTCTTAATTGACTACTTAATTGTCCACTTAATGGACTACTGTATATTTTTGTTATATTTGTCCAAGAGTCTTCAAGAAGAAAGTTTTCAACCTCACCTTGGTTTTTCGGTCATCTGGTGTGGTTTCTTCAAATGCCTCTCCCAGCTTAAAGGAGATTTCATCATTTTTAAAGATGCTTTTGGTCTTGATGGTAATCAAATCCCCTTTTGCACTGATGGTCATAATAGGTTTGGCCAGACTGCTCAGCTTCCTGCTAGCTAATCCTACTCCTAGAAACCAAACAAAAGAAGCCATGCCCAGTATTGCTGTTGACTAGTAAGGATTCCCTTGAGCTGCCCAACATCTTACTATCAGAGAGTGTTATTCTTTAAATGGCTGGATCTCACTGGTTATGCCTAAAGAGATTTCATCTTTCATGCTGCCAAATATCAAAATATAGTAGTTCCACTACTCCAGAAGAGGAAATAATGTCTCTGATTGACCTGAGAAAATGTTGTCAATTGGTTCCCAAACCTCTAAAACATTCATGAATGTCCTTAAGATGCCAAGATTGTGTATGTCACACACATCACTGGCATTCTGAACTTAAATGGTTGACTTTTTGAAAGTAAATGTAGAATCCTTCATAAAGACTCTGCTAATACTTCATTGTGAACTGGAAGTGATCTTTTGGTTTCAGAGGATATATGCCAATAAAGCATAAGCTCAGGCAGATCATTCCCAAGCAGGAAAGGCTTAGAATATCATCTTGGTAGTGGGATATATATTCTGATCAAGAACTCGTCCAGCTGTGTTTGGAGAGACTCTCTGCCATAAGCTTGGCCACTAGTTCTTGGATCATAGTTCTTTTATCATTAAATAAATAAAAGTCCAAAGGGCCCTCTATTTTGCATAATACCTTTCCATTTCTGCAGTAATCATGGTGGAGTACAGAAATGTTGAAAGCTGATCAGAGACTACCAAAATCCTATAATTTTCAGACTCTCTACAAATACTAATCTAACTATTAAGACTTTAAAATGTGAGTTTTTATTCAATTATAAATAATTTGAAACATTACTGGAGGAGATGAACCATCTTCAAAATGACACTCACTATAAATAAAATCAGAAGATGTAAAGAAATTGAAGATAAATGGAGAAATGGCTTTTAGGTTCTCCTCAAAGAAACAAACAAAGGAGCAGGTAGAATAATCATGTGATGAAGATAAAGAAATAGAGGAACTCTACAAAGAACTTAAGAAGACCCTTGGCCTCATTTCTAAAATACATAGAGAATTAACTCAAATTTATAAGAACACAAGTCATTCCCCAATTGATAAATGGTCAAAATATGAGTAGGCAGTTTTCAGATCAAGAAATTAAAGCCATCTATAGTCATGAGAAAATGCTCTAGATCACTATTGATTATAGAGAAATGCAAATCAAAACAACTCTGAGGTACCACATCACACCTATCAGACTGGCCAACATGACAAAACAGGAAAACGATAAATGTTGGAGAAGATATGGGAAAATTGGAACACTAATACATTGTTGGTGGAGTTGTAAAATGATCCAACCATTTTGGAGAGCAATTTGGAACTATGCCCAAAGGACTATAAAAATGTGCATACCCTTTGACCTAGCAATAGTACTTCTAGGGCTGTATGCCAAAGAGATCATACAAATGGGAAAGGGATCCATATGTACAAAAATATTTATAGCAGCTCTTTTTGTAGTGACAAAGAATTGGAAATTGAGAGGATGCCCATCAATTGGGGAATGGCTAAATAAGTTGTAGTATATGAATGTAATGTAATACTATTGTGCTATAAGGAATGATGAGCGAGCAGACTTCAGAAAAACCTAACAAGACTTGCATGGATTGATGCTGAGTGAAGTGAGCAGAATCAGGAGAATGTTGTACACAGTAACAGCCACGTTTTGCGATGACTAATGTTGATAGACTTAGCCCTTCTCAGCAATGCAAGGATCTAAGACATCTCCAAAGGTCTCATGATGGAAAATGCTATCCACATCTAAAGAAAAAACTATGGAGTTTGAATGCAGATCTAAGCATACTATTTGCTATTTTTTTCTTCTGTTTTGTTTTGTTTTCTCTTTCTTTTAGTTCCTCCCATTGGTTCTAATTCTTCCTTACAACATCACCAATGTGGAAATATGTTTAATAGGAATGTATATGTAGAGCCTATATCAGATTGTGTGCCATCTTGGGGAGGGAGAAAGGAGAGAGGGGGAGAAAAATTTAAAACTCAAAAGCTTATGGAAGTAATTGTTGATAAATCAAAATAAATTAATAAAAGTGTCAAAAAAAAGAAGACCCTTGAAACCAAATCAAAATATACTGTGATAATCAGTGACTTCATTGTGAAAATGGGTGCAGGGGAGAATGGCCAAAAATATATGTTGAGAATAAAGTAATGGAAGAGGCCAAAGGCTTGTAGATTACTTAAGAGCCTCATATCTGTATTTCATGACTACTTTCTTCAAGAAAAAAGTCAGAAAGTATTAGAAATTTTGAATAGAAAAAAAAATTGCCCCTCCCTCCCAAAATGAAATTGATTATTTTAACAGACAGGGACCAACTAGTTACTGAAGTGGTAAATGTTTCAGAATTAGTTGTCTCTGGTCGGTCATATCATCTACTGGTTAAAGGAAAATTTTAATATTAACACCAAAGTAGAAGGATAAATATGAGAAAAATACTGTACTACAACAGCTCTAACTTGACCTATATTAATAAGCTCTGAAAAATGGAAGATGAATAAAAATACATTGACTTAAATTATTGACATTTTAAAGGGAAGTTTGACCCGCATAAATAATTGCCATAGTGAGGAAGCCAACAGTGTCCCCAAACTTCCCAAAGCTAGCAGATTGTTCTCCTTGACAAGTAGAAAGACACAGAAGCTAAGGAAAACCTTAGTGTACAATTCAAGTTCATTTGCAAAAATGTTGTTGAAGAATACAACAGAAGATTATGAGTGGTAAAAAGAAACGAAAAGGAAAATGAGCATCTAGAATGCTTGGCATGAGATTCAATTAAGCCAAAGCATTCTAAGGTAAAATTAGAAAGAAGAAAACAAATAGATGTGAAACAGAACAGATTTGCCAGCATTCCTATAGTGACCTATTCATATCAATAATGACAGTGAAACTTATACATTTGACAATAACACCTCAATACCTGATGTCCTCTGTGAGGAAGTGGGAATGGAGTTCAAGATAATGAAATTAGAAAGTGTCAAACTTAACCAAACACATGAGAAATTCATGCCGAAGATACCACCATCTTAAAAGCATTCAAGGGTGAATTTTCAAGGTCTTAAAGGGGAGAAAACTTTAAAAGAAAATAGCATGGAGAATTCAGGAAACATATCACAAGTCTGGCACACACAACATAACAGAGTATTGAAGAGAGATTTCAGACAGCTGAGCATCTTCTGAACCTCTCTGTCAAAAGCAGAGCAGCTAATAACTTATTGATTTTCTGTAGTGATAATTTCATCCTTAAAAATACAGAGGAAGGGGCAGCTAGGTGGCACAGTGGATACAGCACCTACCCTGGATTCAGGAGGACCTGAGTTCAAATCCGGCCTCAGACACATAACACTTACTAGCTGTGTGACCCTGGTCAAGTCACTTAACCCCATTGCCTAGATTAAAAAAAAATACAGAGGAAGAAGGGCAAGGCAGGGTCAAAATGGCAGAGTAGCAGGAAGCAATATAAAATACTCCCCCCAAAATACTCCTCCAAACAGATTTGCAACATGCAACAGATATAATCTTGATGAAGAAATCCAGAAAAAGTCACAATTTGTCATTTTTATAGCCTACATTAGCAAAGAGAGACAGACAGAGGTCTGCATACACTAGAAAAAGAGCTAGTACAGAGTTTGTAATGTGGATAGCACTTCAACACTCAGGGGGAAACTATGAACCAAGGCAAGAGGAAGTTCCAGATCCATACAGGGGTGCTACCACACCTATGCTGGGGCAGCTTTGTTTTACTACTTGGATAAAAGATCCAGAACAGCTTGAGAAGGGAACCTGTGCCTGTACCCCATCTGTTCCCAGCCCTGGACAGTGGGCCTAAAAAGGAGGAGGTCAAAGCAAGTGGTAGCAGTGTGGCACGGACCTTAGGAATAGAGTGGAGTCTTAGTGCCAGCATCTGGCCCAGCCTTCAGAAGAATAATCAGGGCACAAATCCCAGACCAAGGAGCAGCCTAAAATTCTGTCATTCTGATCTAGCAGAGCTTTCAAATTAATAGGAGCTGAATCCAGCAGCAGTCAACAATTGCTCAGATCCAAACTCAGTTCAGAAACTTGCAGAGTTCTGGCCAGGGAGGGCAACAATCAAACTTTGCCCTGTAACACACCACTTTAAAAGAACTGAAAGATATTGGCCTACACCCAATTTCTGCCAGACTGATATCCAGTTTTCCCAACAATTTTTACCAAATAATGAATTCTTATGCCAAAATCTTCAGTTTTTACTCTTGTAAAATACAAGGTTACTATATGTATTTGATGTGGTAAATTGTATGTCTACTCTGTTCTATTGATCTACCTTTCTGTTTCTTAGCCAGTACCAGAGAGTTTTGATAGTTATTGCCTTATAATATAGTTTAAGATCTGGTACTGCTAAACCTCCTTCCTTTACGTTTTTTTCATTAGTTCCTTTGATATTCTTGACCTTTTGCTTTTCCAAATGAATGTTATTATTTTTTTCTAATTCAATAAAATAATCTTTTGGTTATTTAATTGGGATGGCATTGAGGATATAAATTAGTTTAGGTAAAATTGTCATTTTCATTATATTGGCCCTGCCTACCCATGAACAATTATTATTTTTCCAATTATTTAAATCTGATTTTATTTGTATAAAAAGTTTTTTTTTATAATTTTGTTTATATAGTTCATGAGTTGCTTTAACAGGTATAATCTCAGGTATTTTATACTGTCTAGAGTTATTTTAAATGGGATATCTGTTACTATCTCTTCTTGCATGGTTTTGTTTCTGATATATTAGAATGCTGATGATTTATGTGAATTTACTTTATACCCTGCTACTTTGCTAAAATTATTATTTGTTTCAACTAACTTTTTAATTGAGTCTTTGGGATCTTCCAAGTTTATCATCACATTGTTTGCAAAAAGAGGTTGTTTTATTACCTCCCTCCCTATTCTGATTCCTTCTATTTCTTTTTATTCTCTTTTCTATGGCTAGTATTTCCAATACAATATTGAATAATATTGGCTGAACA